GCACCAGCGCCAGCACCTGCAAATGCACCTGCACAATCGGAAGAGCCGATTATCATTTCATCCGGCACACCGTCGCAGCACGACAACGTGGGACAACGCTCAGGCACAGCTAGTGACGGCGCCGCCCAATCTATGCCGGGCATGGAGAGAACCAGGACCACACCGGGCGTTAATGCACCTCGCGAAGCTCGTCATCACGTCGGATTTGTAGCATCAGCCGGCAACGACGACATCGGTGAGCCGATGCCACTCAAGCCTCAGCGCCCGCCCTACTTCGATCCTAGCCAGTGTGGAGGTCCGACGGTTCAATTGTGGGTGTTCACGATGAACGTGTTTTTTTACGCGAACTACGGCAGGTCACATCCAGCGAAGATCCGGTACGTCGTATCATTGCTGCGGGGCCCCGCCATGGACTGGTGGCGAATCATCGTAACGTCGTCGCGCGCCTACGAGCCACTATCGCAAGAGGAAGGGCCCGCGGGTCCGGCCGTCACCTGGAGTTCATTCTGCGAGACATCCCAATACAGCACGTGGGACGCGTGGTGCGCAGGGCTTCGTACACGCTTCGAGCCAATTGCGGCCTCGATTTCAGCACGTCAGAAGCTGCGCACTTGGCGACAGCTTGGGTCGGTCCAAGACTACACTAGAGGTTTTCTCGCGATGTGCGAGCAAGTTGACTACATGCACGAAGCGGAGCGAGTGGATCGCTACGTCGGCAGCCTGAAGCCAGAAATCTCGCAAGAAATTATTCTTCGCGGGATCTCAAACTTCAACGAAATCTTGGCGCTAGCGGAGAAAGTCGACATCCTACGTCGTCCGAGATCGGGGTCCTACTACAGACATCGCCCTCGGGGACCGACCGAGCACGCCACTATACACGCCGTTGCAACGAATGCAGCCGCCGCTTCGTTTAAGGGGCGCTGCTTCACATGCAACAGGCCGGGCCATCACAAGAGTGAATGCCCAAAGGAGCTAAGGCGCTGTGGAGCAGAGAAGGGAAGGGAGTCTGGGAGGCAGGGAAATGCCAGCAGTCAGTAGAGTACGGGCCTACTACTAACGAGACTCACTGCTCGCCCGACCTCACTGACCCTCACCGAGTCACATTACCGATTCACGCAATTGATCGGGCTCGGCTGAATAAGGAGGGTACAGCGATAGATTGCCCAATACTGATTCACGGGAAAATACAGGGGGTAGCAGTGAAGATTTTTATCGACGAAGGAGCAAGTTACATTTTAGTTAATAATGCGACGGCACGGAAACTGCAACTGACACTTAGTCGCTGCTTACCGGAGATTGAGGCACGCTTAGTTGACAGCACGCCACTGGATGTACGGGAAAATGTGGAGAGAGTGAAGGTTCGCTGCGGGGGGGATTTCGGGTTTACACAGGAAATGCTCGTGACGACGCTAGATGGGCACAACATTTTACTGGGACGTGATTGGCTGCGACGCTACAACCCGCGAATTGACTGGACGACAAGTAGCTGCACTGTGCGAAGTAGTGGTAATTGGGTCAAAATACCTCGCTGGTGGTCGCTTGAGTCTTCAACGGTCCACGTCAACGCCATCACGATGAAACGGGTTGTCGCCGCTGGAGCTGACGTGTACGCAGTGGACATTACTATAGTAGGAGAAGCGGAGCAGCAGAGTGATTTTCAGAAACTGCTGGCAGCCGTACCGCCCGAACTACAGGAATTACTGAAACATTTCCCAGGGATTTTTCCAGACGATTTACCGAAGGGACTGCCACCTCAGCGAGCACACGACCATCGCATAGAATTAGAACCCGGGGCACAGCCAACCATACAACGACAGTTCAGACTGACACAGCCCGAACTTGACGAACTAAGGAAGTAGCGAGATTACCTACTGGAGAAAAAAATAATCTGACCGAGTTTGTCCCCGTTCGCCGCATCGATACTGTTCACACCGAAAAAAGGCGGAGGGTTTCGCATGTGTATCGACTACCGCGCACTGAACAGGGTTACAGTCAAGTCACGATATCCCATCCCCCACGCCGACCAACCACGAACAACACGAGTTTTCTTTCTCAAAAATCGACCTTCGGGGAGGTTACCACCATATTAGAGTCGAACCATCAGACTGCTCCAAGACTGCTTTTAGGACTAGATACAAATCATTCGAGTACACTGTTATGCCATTCGGGCTGACCAACGCGCTGGCGACATTTCAGATGACCATGAATGAGGCGTTTAGGGCACTTTTAGATAAATGCGTGATAGTTTACCTCGACGACATCCTGGTCTACAGTCGCGACAAGCAGCAGCACTTAGCAGATCTGGAAGCAGTGTTTAAAGTTTTAGACGAGCACCGACTACTGACCAAGGGTTCCAAGTACGAGTTTTTTCAAGACATGTTAGAATTTCAGGGGCACGTTATTTCGGAGGCTGGCGTTGAGATCGACCCAAAGAAGCTGGACACAGTAAAAGCGTGGCACCCCCCAACAAATATCACGGAGCTGCAGATTTTTTTAGGGTTCGTTAATTATGTGCCTCGGTTCGTCCCCGACATGGCACGGTTTACTGCCCCACTGACGGATTTGTTGCGGAAGGGGGTCGCTTTTACGTGGGGGGAGAAAGAGCATGCTGCCTTCTCTGCCCTGAAAATGTTCTCTGTTCACCGCCCGTACTGCGCATTGCCGACCCACACCGCTCATTCGAAGTGGTTACCGATGCAAGCGACATCGCCATCGGAGCCGTACTGCTACACGACTTCGGCAACGGATTACAGCCCATCACATACGAATCACGAAAACTGCACCCACGCGAGAAAAATTACCCGATACACGACCGCGAAATGCTCGCGATCGTGCACGCGTTCAAGGTCTGGCGCTGTTACTTGACCGGCGCAGACGTGATAGTACGGACAGGCCACAAATCACTACAGTACCTCCGCGCACAGCCCCACCTCAACCCACGAAAGGTCCGCGGGCTCGACTTCTTCGAGTCCAACTTCCACTATACAGTCACCTACAAAAAAGGAGCATCGAACATTGCCAACGCACTAACCCGCCCCACTCCCCAAATACACGCCATAATAGTCGCCCAGACTAGCCCACTACTTACAGGACTATTTACCCACAAATACCAGACAGACCCATTCTTCACCGGAGGAAATTTGCAGCATTTCGCAGCAGCAAAGGGGGTCTATTATGTAAAATCCTGCACCGACCGCATGTGGGTACACCTTACTACGGGAGTTACTGCTACAGGAGGCACACGATGGGGTCACCTTAGGACATTTCGGAGTAGAGAAAACACGACAGCAGTTGCAGCGGTTCTACTACTCGCCAGAGATGTTGACCGACGTGCAGCGACACGTGGCATTGTGTCCCACCTGCCAACTCATGAAGTCGTCACGGCAGCGACCGGCAGGACAGTTGCAGCCGATACCACCCCCAGAGCGTGCTTGGCAGCAGGTGACGATGGGCTTCATCACGGGGTTGCTGGCCGGAGCAAGTGGGAATGACCCGATCCTGGTCGTCGTCGATTGGCTGACGAAGATGGCACATTTCGCAACCTGCAAAAAATCAATCACAACCAAAGAAACAACCCGAGTTTTCATCTCCACCGTCGTTCGACTGCACGGGATACCTGCGTCAATCATCAGCGATCGCGACACGAAATTCACCAACAACTTCTGGAGGAACTTGTGGCAGCAGTGCGGCACGCGACTACAGTTCAGCTCATCGTACCGACGGAACGGACAAACCAAACCATGGAGCAGTTAATTCGAGCCACGTGCGACGATTCGGCAACATGGGAACAACAGCTGCCACTCATCGAGTTCGCCTACAACAATTCCACGTCAGCCACAACGCAGCAGTCACCATTTTACCTCAACTACGGACAGAACCCAACAGTACCCATGACCCCGAATCTCGACAACCCAGTACCACGCGCGCAACAGTTCGCAGAAATCTTACAAGCAGCACGGACCCGGGCAGCAAACGCCATAAAAAAATCGAACATCAGTGCTAAGCGTAATGTCGATCGCCACCGCCGCCCCGTCACTTACCAGCCGACGACCTCGTACTCCTCGACACCCAAAGCCTCCGCCTGCCCATAACCCCGAAACTCCGCCCTCGATATTGTGGCCCATTCCGCATCAGCCACATGATCACACCCGTCACTGCCCACCTCCTCCTTTCTGCTAACTGGTACATCAGCCTGTCGTTCCACGTCAGCTTACTCCGCCCATACGTCCCTTCCACCAGCCATCTGCCTCGCAACCGCCCTGCCAGCATGACACGACCGCCAACAGAGTCAGTCATCACACCCGAGAAAATCTTGAGTCACCGAGTTCATGACCCACGTGGAGGTCGCGTGATCGAGTCCCTGATTCGCTGGAAAGACCGCACGCCCACTGAGGACAACTGTGTGCCTCTGGATAAAATTGAGAATCACCCTGTCCTCACCGAGTATCTCCTCAGTTGCAATTTCCGAGATGTACACGCACTCTCGTAAGGGGAGCCTCCTTGGGGAGGGGGGTAGTGTAAGGAAAATTCCTTCTCCTTACTTCACGCCCCTGCTTACCACGTACACGACTGTTCCCGCCAATAGCACCCAACAGTGCAACGTTACCCGTTCGCGACACTCGCCTCGACCACTGTCCCGCCACTGTTCACGACGCGACCCAACCTCACAGTTCGGTTGGTAACCCGTGCTCCGGATCTCCTCCTCCACATTTCCCAACCTCGTCGCTAGGCCCGTAACGCACCCCATTTTCTCACGTTTCCGTTACCACACTGGCTTCAGTATATATTGTTCGCTCATTCCTTCGCTCATTGTACTGTTTTGCTTCGATGGCGCAATTTTCGCTCGCTCGCTCAATTGCACTCATAACAGTCTGATATAAGGCGAACTGTTCAATTGAATTGTGAAAAGTGATTCGCACAGTATATGTTGTTATCTTGTTTCTGGTTAAACATCGAGCAATTATATAAGCGATGTATTATAATTTACACGTAACGAACCGTTATTGTAGGCAATAGCATTGATTGAAGTACGGGCAAAAACATTTGCATTGATTGTTGAGGCTTGTCCTGTAGCACTCCAATATTGGTATCATGGGTGGTGGTGGCGGGGCGGGTGGTGGATGCGGGGGGGGCGAAGGAGGGGGAGGACGGGGAGGAGAAGGGGGAGGCCGAGGAGGGGGGGATGGGGGAGGGAATGGAGGAGGGGAGGGAGGGGGGCGAGGCGGGGGGCGTGGGGGAGGCGAAGGGGGAGGGGAGGGAGGAGGGCGGGGAGGAGGGCGTGGGGGAGGGGAAGGGGGAGGGGAGGGAGGAGGGCGGGGAGGGGGGCGTGGGGGAGGCGAAGGGGGAAATGGGGGAGGCGGGGAAGGGGGAGGTTTGGGTGGGGGAGAAGGGGGAGGGAAAGGGGGAGGGGAGGGAGGGGGACGAGGCGGGGGGCGTGGGGGAGGCGAAGGGGGAGGGGAGGGAGGAGGGCGGGGAGGGGGGCGTGGGGGAGGGGAAGGAGGAGGGGAGGGAGGCGGGGAAGGGGGAGGTTTGGGTGGGGGAGAAGGGGGAGGGTTGGGGGGAGGGTTTGGGGGAGGGGATGGAGGAGAAGGGGGAGGTTTGGGTGGGGGGGATGGGGGAGGGTTGGGGGGAGGAAATGGGGGAGAAGGAGGAGGTTTGAGTGGGGGAGAAGGGGGAGATGGGGGAGGGTTGGGGGGAGGGGATGGGGGAGAAGGGGGAGGTTTGGGTGGGGGAGAAGGGGGGGAAGGGGGAGGCTTGGGCGGGGGAGAAGGGGGAGATGGGGGAGGGTTAGGAGGAGGGGATGGGGGAGAAGGGGGAGGCTTAGGTGGGGGAGAAGGGGGAGATGGAGGAGGGTTGGGGGGAGGGGATGGGGGAGAAGGGGGGGGGTTGGGTGGGGGAGAAGGGGGAGATGGGGGAGATGGGGGAGGCTTGGGCGGAGGAGAAGGGGGAGATGGGGGAGGGTTAGGAGGAGGGGATGGTGGGGAAGGGGGAGGTTTGGGTGGGGGAGAAGGGGGGGATGGGGGAGGGTTGGGGGGAGGAGATGGGGGAGAAGGGGGGGGTTTGGGAGGGGGAGAAGGGGGAGACGGGGGAGGCTTGGGCGGGGGAGATGGGGGAGGGTTAGGAGGAGGGGATGGGGGAGAAGGGGGAGGTTTGGGTGGGGGAGAAGGGGGGGATGGGGGAGGGTTGGGGGGAGGGGATGGGGGAGAAGGGGGAGGTTTGGGTGGGGGAGAAGGGGGGGATGGGGGAGGCTTGGGCGGAGGAGAAGGGGGAGAAGGGGGAGGGTTAGGAGGAGGGGATGGGGGAGAAGGGGGAGGTTTGGGTGGGGGAGAAGGGGGAGATGGGGGAGGGTTGGGGGGAGGAGACGGGGGAGAAGGGGGGGGTTTGGGAGGGGGAGAAGGGGGAGACGGGGGAGGCTTGGGCGGAGGAGAAGGGGGAGATGGGGGAGGGTTAGGAGGAGGGGATGGGGGAGAAGGGGGAGGTTTGGGTGGGGGATAAGGGGGGGATGGGGGAGGGTTGGGGGGAGGGGATGGGGGAGAAGGGGGAGGTTTGGGTGGGGGAGAAGGGGGGGATGGGGGAGGCTTGGGCGGAGGAGAAGGGGGAGAAGGGGGAGGGTTAGGAGGAGGGGATGGGGGAGAAGGGGGAGGTTTGGGTGGGGGAGAAGGGGGGAATGGGGGAGGGTTGGGGGGAGGGGATGGGGGAGAAGGGGGAGGTTTGGGTGGGGGAGAAGGGGGAGAAGGGGGAGATGGGGGAGGCTTGGGCGGAGGAGAAGGGGGAGATGGGGGAGGGTTGGGGAGAGGGGATGGGGGAGAAGGGGGAGGTATAGGTGGGGGAGAGGGGGGAGATGGGGGAGGGTTAGGGGGAGGGGATGGGGGAGAAGGGGGAGATGGGGGCGGGTTGGGTGGGGGAGAAGGGGGAGATGGGGGAGGGTTGGGTGGGGGAGAAGGGGGAGATGGGGGAGGATTTGAGGGGGAAGGTGGGGGAGTTGGCGGGGGGGAGGGGGATGGGGGTGACGGTGGGGGGAAGGGAAGCGGGGGCGGGGGTGACGGTTGAGGGGGGAGTGGAGGTGGATGTGGTGGAGAGGGTGGGGGTGCTGCAGGAGAAGGGGGCAAGGGGAAAACGGGAGAGGCACAGAAGGGAAGGATAGAAACAGGAATGTGAGGGTGGTTGTGGTGTGGGTGATTTCGAGAGGGTGGTTATGAGAGGGGAAGAGAGGAGAATGGAGGGAGGAAGAGAAAAAGAATGGAGGGAGGAAGAGAAGAAGAATGGGGGGAGGAAGAGAAGAAGAATGGAGAGAGGAAAAGGGGAATACTGGAAGGAGGACGAGGGGGAGAATAAAATATTGGAGGAAGAGAGGTAGAATGGGAGGCAACAGGAAGAGGGGGGAGAGGGAGGCTTAGGGCGGTGTAAAGTGGTGTAGAGAGGTGGAGAGAGGCAGCGAGAGTGAGGCTTATAGGAGGCATGCAGGCAGTCTCTTTAACCGCAAGGGTCGACCCTTTTTTAGATGTCTCTAGAAGAAAGTGTTTGGTAGAGAGCGGTGGAGAGAGGTGGAGAATGGTGAAGAGAGGTGGAGAGTGGTGGAGAGAGGTGCAGAGAGGGAGTGAGGCTTACGAGGAGGCAGGCAGGCAGTCTTGTTAGCAGCAAGAGTCGACCCCCGCCACGTGCAGTTACACTGTATGGTAACCGCACCCGTGGTAACCGCAACCGCGCTGACCACACACACCCCGATCCCATACGTGCACTGCGCGTTACTCCCCGGAGTGGTAACCAGCCCGAAACTCGTGGAGCAAAAAGCACTGCAGTCTGCTGCGGTGCGCTGCGCCTCGGTTACAGTAACAGGGTTACCGCCTGTGCTGGTGGCGCTGGTACAGGTGTCGGACGCGTATTGGAGGCAGTTGTTGGCGGTTTGGACGGAGGAGGTGGCGTTCGGGCAGATGGAATTTCCGGCGAGGTCGAGAATGTTGCCCGAGCCGAAAAAATAGTTGGTGTGGATGCTGTAGTGTAGGATGAGAGGGGCTGAGCGCATGGGAGGGACTGGGCCAGTGAAGTAGTTAACGGAGAGATCTCTGCGGTGGGAGGGGGTGGGGAGGGGTGGGGTGGGGTGGAACGAAGTGAGGTGGGGTTGGGAGTAAGAGGGAGGCATTGAAGCAATAGTTGGTGTGGATGCTGTAGTGTAGGATGAGAGGAGCTGAGCTCATGGGAGGGACTGGGCCACTGAAATAGTTGGAGGAGAGATCATTGCGGTGGGAGGGGGTGGAGTAGTGTGGGATGGGGTGGGGTGGGGTGGGGAGGGAGGCATTGGAAAAATAGTTACTGTGGATGCTGTATATGAGGGACACAAGAGAGGCTGAGCTCATGGGAGGGACTGGCCCGGTGAAATAGTTGGAGGAGAGATCTCTGCGGTGGAAAGGGGTGGGGAGGGATGTTGTGGCTGCGGTGCATTGCACAAGAGGGGCTGAGGTCATGGGGGGGACTGGCCCGATGAAATAGTTGGCGGAGAGATCTCTGCGGTGGGAAGGGGTGGGGTCGGGTGGGTGGGGTGGAATGAAGGAGGGGAAGGCATAGCTGCTGTAGAGTTGGATGAGAGGGGCTGAGCTCATGGAAGGAACTGGGCCAGTGAAATAGTTGGCAGAGAGATCACTGCGGTGGGAAGGGGTGAAGGGAGGTATGGGGTGAGGGGTAAAGGGGAAGAAGGAATGTATAGTTGCTGTGGATGCTGTAGAGCTGGACGAGAGCGGCTGAGCTCATGTGGGGGACTGGCCCGGTGAGGAGAGATCACTGCGGTGGGATGCAGTGGGGTGGGGTGGAGTGAGTGGGGTGGGGGGGTGGGGGGAGCAAGAAAGGAGAAAAGAGGCTCGTCAATGCTTGCATCAGCAGCACAGGATGCAGCACAGTGTGCTTACAGTGTCTGATGATGGGAGAGGATGATAGGAGGCACAATGCCACTCAGATAGCAGTACAGACAGCAGTACAGGATGAGGTACGCACACACATGCACCATTTGCACACACATGCAGCACACGGCACTCACAGTGTCTGCAGTGACGTCAGCGAGCTGATGATAGGGGCCACGTGATGATAAGAGGTTGTTGTTGAGGCGTCTCAAGAAACAACCTTCCATCACACACATGCAGCACACGGCACTCACAGCGTCTGCAGTGACGTCAGCGAGCTGATGATAGGGGCCACGATGCCACTCAGATAGTTGTTGCTGACGTCACTGGTCATGTGCGTGGGCGGAAAATGGGGGAGAGGCGGGAGGAGGGAAAATAAAGGGGAAAGGTAGAAGTGGGTGGGGAATTGGGAAGGGAGAAGTGGGGTGGTGTGGCGGGGGGAACTCAGAAGGCTCCTTGGTTGATAGATGAAACAAAAGCATTCAGATGAGTCACTTATCTCAGGAGCTCTTTCCTGTTCACATTAGGGAACAGGTTGGAGACTGGAGTCAGTTAAGTCTTAAGAGTTTAAAACTCGTATAGAGACTGGCGGGTTTTGTGAGTGGATTGGATTAGGAGCTTACAGTTCGTAAAATCGACTCGCTGGTTCACATCCTTGTGAGTCAATTAAGAGTTTTCGAGTTCATGAAGCGACTGGCAGGCAGGAAGCTTTTTGAGTCAACTCGTTTTGAGACGTCTCAAAACTAATCGTCTCACTGGGTACGACCTCGTGAGTAAGAGCTTCTGAGTTCATGAAGCGACTGGCAGGCAGGAGGCTCTTAATTCAACTCAAAAGTCACCAGGGTTACAAACTTTTGAGTCGGTTAATAACTTACAGCTCGTATAGCGACTGGCAGGTGGCCAGATTGGAAGGCAGCGGGCCTGTGAAGAAATTGTGAGACAGATGCCTGGGAAATGGGGAGGGGGGAGATATGTGGGGAAGGGGGAGCTAAATGTGTCATGTGCCGTGTGCTGTTCTAATAAGGGAATTTTTGAACCGCAGGTCTAACCTGCCCATGCGGCCATGCCCATGCGGCCATGCACATGCGGCCGTGCCAATGCGGCCATGCCCATGCCCGTGCCCGTGCCCATACCCATGCCCATGCACATGCCCATGCACATGCCCATGCCCATGCCCATGCCCGTGCCCGTGCCCATGCCCATGCACATGCCCATGCACGTGCCCATGCCCATGCCCATGCCCATGCACATGCCCATGCCCATGCACGTGCCCGTGCACATGCCCATGCGCACGCCCATGACAGTGAGGTTCATGACAACGACAAGGCAAATCAAGGCAGGCAGGCTCGCAGAAAAGCAAAACAAAACAAAAACAAAAAACGAGAAAGCGCGTGCTGATGCTGCTTGCGACTTCCCCTTTCTTTCTATTTCTCTTAACCGCCTGTTTAGTGAAAGGCTCGTGTTGAGTGACTCAAAAGGAGGAAGGCGCGTACGTACAAGAAGCCTAGAAATTGCATGCTGCTGGTGAAGATGGGAGGCAGAGTGCCGTTGAGCTTGTTGTATGAAAGGTCCCTGCGATGGGGAGAGGGAGGAGAGGGGAGAGGGTGGGGAGAGGCATGATACAGAGTGCAAAGAGTTTCAGAAGTGCATGCTGCTGGTGAAGATGGGAGGCAGAGTGCCGTTGAGCTTGTTGTAAGAGAGGTCTCTGATAGGGGAGAGAGAAGGTGGGGAGAGAGAGTGGTGAGGAGAGAGGAGAGAGGAGAGAGCGTGATGAGAGAAGGGAGGCTCAAATATGGAAGTAAAACAAGACAGTGACGGACGGGACTAGGCAGGGAGCAAGCAATAGAACTTAATAAAGTGGTAATTATCTTCGACTCAAGCGTAGGGGAGGGAGAAGAGAAGTGCGCTCAGAGAGACTTTTTGTGTTAGAAAGTAGTAAGAACAAAATCAAGAAAAAGGATAGAAGGGAGGGGTGTAAGCTTAAAGAACTGGAGTGGCAGCGAGCCGATTAGCTTAAGAAAAATATAAGACGAGTGGTTAAGAGAGAACAGTTAAGGGCAGTTACAGGGAGAAGAGGGAGGTGAGCTCAGAGAGCTGGAGAGGCAGCGAGCCTGTGAGCGAGTTGTGATGGAGGAACCTGCACGCACGCAGAGAGGGGAAGGAGAGCCTCACTTGGTAGGGGTCAAGGGGGGTCAACAGGAGGGGTCAGGAATGAGTCAAGGAGTCTTCGAAGTGAATGGATTCACTGGTTGAGGGAGGGGAGGGAGAGCCGAGGGATGAGAGGGCAGAGGGTAGCGAGCCAGCGAGCTCGGTGTTTGCCAGTGGCTGTCCAGTCCAGTGACTGCGGCTTGCGTCTTTCGCAACTAAGGTCCAGTCCAAGGGTCAATAATCAATTTCCAGTGGTTGCCACGGTAACTTCAGGACGTCAAAGTGGACAGGTGGGCTGCGGAGGCTGCGGAGTCAACGCGAGTCAACGCGAGTCAACAAAGATGCTTACATAATGGCTAGAGAGCCCAAGGAGGAGAGGGCAGAGGGTATCGATCCAGTGAGTGTGTTGTTTGCCAGGCCTCTGCAGGAGAGCAACGAGAGAGCAAGGGAGAGAAGGACGGGGAGAAGGAGCAAGTCAAGGTGTTGTTTGCCAGGCCTTTGCAGCAGAGCAGAGGAGAGCAGAGGAGAGCAGAGGAGAGCAGAGGAGAGCAAGGGAGAGCAGAGGAGAGCAGAGGAGAGCAAGGGAGAGCAGAGGAGAGCAAGGGAGAGCAGAGGAGAGCAAGGGAGAGCAGAGGAGAGCAAGGGAGAGCAGAGGAGAGCAAGGGAGAGCAGAGGAGAGCAAGGGAGAGAAGGACGATCTGTGGGAGCAAGTGATTCCCCCTCAACTCTGTCAGGCTGTCAGGATGTCAGGCTGTCAGGCTGTTAGGCTGTCAGGCTGTCAGGCTGTCACTAAGTTGGTCATTTATGCCATTTCAGCCCATGTACACGTAACGTACGCGTACATGTACGTACGCGTACGTACGTGTACGTACGCCGGGCAGGTAAAAAAAAAAGTTCCCCTAGAAAAATCTTTGAAAACGGTTTCCGAAAACCTAAAAAATAAAAAAGCTTTCGACGACCTGTGCTCTGTTAGCGTGTTAGTACGGCGCGACGTTTTTCTAAGTAGTAATGTAAGAAACAGGAAGGTTGCTAGCTAGGGTTGCTATGGTGTGGCGTCTACCCTACGTACTATGTCGACTAAGGCGGTAGAACTACGATAGCTAAGTCTGTCGAGAGAGGGAGGGAGGAAATTGTGGTGGGAGTAGATCTGAATGTGTACAAACTGTTCGCGATAGAACATTGCGAACAGTTTGACTCAGATAGCGATTGCTTCGCTTGCAAGGTAAGCGAATGTCACCCGCTCGGCAGTTTCGTCACCGCCGACCTTCACTGGTTTCGGCGAATCCCAACTTAGAGTCAAACCAATTCGCATGATGGTATTTTTGTTATTTGGGAAATTACGAGGTTGTAATGGAATGTTTACACTACATGATGGAAATCATGATTACGAGGGAGTACTATAGAAAAAATATACATATTCGGGCAGCCCAAAAAAAAATCACCTGCCCGTACATTAGGCCTCCAACCCAACATCCGCGTAAACGTACGTACCCGTACACGTACGTACGTAAACGTAAACGTAAATGACCAACTAAGGGCTGTCAGGCTGTTAGGCTGTCAGGCTGTCAGGCTGTCAGGCTGTCAGGCTGTTAGGCTGTTAGGCTGTCAGGCTGTCAGGCTGTCAGGCTGTTAGGCTGTCAGGCTGTTAGGCTGTCAGGCTGTCAGGCTGTTAGGCTGTCAGGCTGTCAGGCTGTCAGGCTGTCAGGCTGTTAGGCTGTCAGGCTGTCAGGCTGTCAGGCTGTCAGGCTGTCAGGCTGTTAGGCTGTCAGGCTGTTAGGCTGTCAGGCTGTCAGGCTGTCAGGCTGTCAGGCTGTTAGGCTGTCAGGCTGTCAGGCTGTCAGGCTGTTAGGCTGTCAGGCTGTCAGGCTGTTAGGCTGTCAGGCTGTCAGGCTGTTAGGCTGTTAGGCTGTCAGGCTGTTAGGCTGTTAGGCTGTTAGGCTGTCAGGCTGTTAGGCTGTCAGGCTTTCAGGCTGTCAGGCTGTTAGGCTGTTAGGCTGTCAGGCTGTCAGGCTGTTAGGCTGTTAGGCTGTCAGGCTGTTAGGCTGTCAGGCTGTTAGGCTGTTAGGCTGTTAGGCTGTCAGGCTGTTAGGCTGTCAGGCTGTTAGGCTGTCAGGCTTTCAGGCTGTCAGGCTGTTAGGCTGTTAGGCTGTCAGGCTGTCAGGCTGTCAGGCTGTTAGGCTGTCAGGCTGTTAGGCTGTCAGGCTGTTAGGCTGTCAGGCTGTTAGGCTGTCAGGCTGTTAGGCTGTTAGGCTGTCAGGCTGTTAGGCTGTCAGGGGGTAACTGACAGGGGGAGGTGGTAACTGACAGGGGGAGGTGGTAACTGACAGGGGGAGGTGGTAACTGACAGGGGGGGTGGTAACTGACAGGGGGAGGTGGTAACTGACAGGGGGAGGTGGTAAGTGACAGGGTGAGGGGGTAACTGACAGGGGGAGGGGGTAACTGACAGGGGGAGGGGGTAACTGACAGGGGGATGTGGTAACTGACAGGAGGAGGTGGTAACCGGCTGACGGGGAGGTGGTTACTGACAGGTACTGGAGTGCAGCAAGCGAGCTGAGGCCGGCAGGAAGGGAACCTGAGAGCTTGTTGTAAGAAGCACTCCTGGGAGGGGAAACAGGGGCCATGGAGGGTGGGGATGAGGGGGTGGTGTTGTTGCAAACATGAGTAAGTGGGCGAATAGAGGATTGTTAGGGGGAAGGGGGGAGGGAGCGAATGGGGACGGGAAAGGGGAAGGGGGTGTGAATGAAGAAGTGGGGAAGTTGGGGTGGGGAGGGTGGTTGAGAGGCGAGCCCTGCAGGCAAGGAGTCTGACAGCTTGTTGTGGGATGCGTTCTTGGGTATGGCGGAAGGGGGGGAGATAAGGGGAAGGGAGGCGGAAGGGGACATGGGGAGGGTGGGTGAGAGGCGAGGCGAGCCCTGCAGGCAAGGAGTCTGACAGCTTGTTGTGGGATGCGTTCTTGGGTATGGCGGAAGGGGGGGAGATAAGGGGAAGGGAGGCGGAAGGGGACATGGGGAGGGTGGGTGAGAGGAGAGGCGAGCCCTGCAGGCAAGGAGTCTGACATAGGGATGAGCAGGGGGCGAACTCGAACATGTTCGAGTTCGCCCCCTCTCGAACATCGACTTCTGCTGAACCGAACACTGTTCGGTTCGGCGAACGACTTGGGCGAAAATTGGTGTTCGCCGTTCGCCCTAGGAGGCGAACGATTTGCTGCAGCAGGCGAACACGAACATGTTCAAGGCGAACATGTTCGTGTTCGCCCAGGGGGATATTCGATATAGTCACGCAGGTCAGAATTGACATCTACCCGCCCCTACAACTAGAGAATTGACCTCTACAAGCTTGATCCCGTAGCCGTAGCTACCAACCCTTAGTGTTTCTGAAATTACCCTACACTATTAACTACTTAGATGAAATGTCCGTGTAAAAGTTAAGGAACGGTGTGCGATGGCTCTTAAAACCGCAAGGCTATGGCGGTTGTGGGAGGGAGGGCTAAGCGCCAAAGTCGTTTTGAGTTTGAGCTCAAGAAATGAGCTCAAACTCAAAACGGCCGCGACCTAAATTTGGTCGCGGCCAATTTTGACGCAAACACTTTGGTGTTCGCCTGCCCCCCAAATCGAACACGAACGTGTTTGTGTTCGTCTTTCCTTCGCCAAATGGAGGTGGCGAACGGCGAACATGTTCGGCCGAACACCGAACATGTTCGCCCCGAACGAATTAGGCGAAAAAAAAAAAAAAAAAAAAAGTTCGGTTCGCCTCGAGGTGTTCGAGATTTTGCTCAAGCCTAGTCTGACAGCTTGTTGTGGGATGCGCTCTTGGGAGAAAAAGAGGGAGGGCAGGGGTCGTGTTGGATGGAAGCAGAAATGGAGGGCTGGAGAGCGTGGGAAAGTATATCTGTGCGAGAAAGGCGAGGCCTGCAGGCAAGGAGCTTGTTGTGGTCGCACTCTTGGGGAAGGAGGAGGAGGGGGAGGGGGGGGGGGGTTAAGGGGGAGGGAGGCGGAAGGGGACATTGGAAGGTTGGGGTGAGAGGCGAGGCGAGGCCTGTACGCAAGAAGCCTTGAAACAAGGAGTCACGAGACTCACATGTATGTGAGAGAAGCAAAGGAGGAAACTGAAGCCAGCACAGCTCCTGTGAGGGTTTAAGCTTTTAGGGCTTAGGGCCTTGAAACAAGAACCCACCAGACTCACAGGTAAATGAGCGAGGCGAAGGAGGAGACTGAAGCCGGCACAGATCCTGTGAGGGCATTTCTGTCGATGAAGCTTCATGAAGCAAGGAAGGTGCAGAAGAGAAGAGAAGGTACGAAACAAAACAGAACAACACGTAAGAGAGAGCAGGAACTGAGTAGCAAGTATCCACTCTGCTGACTAGGTTGACAGACAGAGGACAGAGAGAGAGAGAATACAATCTTCGGGAGCGAATCCAGTTTTACTGTTAAATAGCTTAGGGAGGTTGTTCCACGCACTGACAGGAAGCGGAGGTTGGTGAGGGTGCTGAGCTGCGAACGAACGAAGAAATCACTTTTGAGAATTCTCAAAAGTGATTCCTAAGAAAAGTTGCTCCGTGCACTGACAGGAAGCGGAGGTTGGTGAGGGTGCTGAGCTGCGAACAAACGAAGCACTCGCGAAGGTGGGGAGAGCTTAGAACGGTGGGAGAACCTTTAACAACTCCCAAAAGTGAATCCCATAGTGACAGCACTGACAGGAAGCGGAGGTTGGTGAGGGTCTTGAGTTGCGATGGGATGGCCCCTGTGAGCGTGTTGTTGCTTAGATAGCTGGCAGAAGGGTGGCGTGGGGTGGGATGGGGTGGAGTGGGGTGGGATGGGGTGGAGTGCGGTATCAGTGGGTGCAAATGGATCTGCGTACGGATGGCTCCTGTGAGTGTGTTGTTGCTTAGGGTGGGGTGGGTTGGGATGGGGTGGGATGGGTGGGTGGGGTGGGTAGGGTGAGGTGGGTTGGGGGGTGGGTGGTGGTATGGTATGGGACTCTAATCTAAACCTGACTTCCAATAGAAGTGACTCAGATATACAAGTGAGTTTAAAATTTGGAGTGACTTAGGTTGGTGAGAGCGCTTAGCTGAGTTGAGATCGTGCCTATTCAATTCGCTTTTGAGAATCCAGAAATCAGTGGCTCGGATATTCAAATTATTTAAAAAGTCGCGGAGTGACTCACAGCCCGTCCAGGTTGGTGAGAGCGCTCAGCTGAGAGGGGATCGTGCCGCTGAGCTTGTTGTTCCGGAAGTCCCTGGTTTGAGCAGGTGAGGCGAACGGTTGGGTGGGTGGGTGGGTGGGAGGGCGGATGAGTAGATGGCTTTGAGTTGACTAGAAAGTCACCACGCTCAGCTGAGAAGGGATCGTGCCGCTGAGCCTGTTGTTCCGGAAGTCCCTGGTTTGAGGAGGTGAGGCGGTGGGTGGATGGAGGGCGGACGGGTGGGAGAAAGAGTGGAAGGTGGGTGGATGGAGGGTGGACGGGTGGGGGAAAGAGAGTAAGGTGGGTGGATGGAGGGTGGACGGGTGAGAGAAAGAGTGGAAGGTGGGTGGATGGAGGGTGGACGGGTGGGAGAAAGAGTGGAAGGTGGGTGGATGAAGGGTGGACGGGTGGGAGAAAGAGTGAAAGGTGGGTGGATGGAGGGTGGACGGGGAGGGGAAAGAGTGGAAGGTGGGTGGATGGAGGGTGGACGGGTGGAGGAAAGAGTGGAAGGATGAGATGAGCTGGCATGTGTGCGCTTGTTGTTGTTCCGAAGGTCCCTGGCTTGAGTAGGTGAGGTGGAAGAGTGGTGGATGAGTGAATGAATAAATAGGTGGATGGCTGGATGGGTGGAGGGGTGGATGGGTGGATGGGTGGATGGGTGGAAAAATGGTGACCCATGGAAAAATGGTGACCTGTGGAGAAACGGTGTCCCTGAAGCTTACAGCGTTTGCATGGCCTTGAGCGCAGAGAGAGACGGGGGAATCGCTCCTGTGAGCAGATTGTCTTTCAGGTTACTGCAGTGGTGCAGGGGGGTGCAAAGTGGGGTGGTGCAAGGTGGTGCAAAGCGGTGCAAGAAACTGACAGGCGGGTGATCAAAAGGTTCAACGGAGGGAGGGCACAAGGGGGAATCAACGATGGAGGCCTAAAGGAAAGGAGGACAAGAGGGAACTCTTGACGCGCCGCAAAATTTGGGTGATCAAAAGGCCGAATGGAGGGAGGGCATAAGGCGGAAGGAATCAAGGATGGAGGCCTGAAGGAAAGGAGGAGGAGAGGGAAGGGAAGCTTGTTGAGGGTGGTACAGAGAGGCAGTAGAGCAGGAAGGAGGATGAGTAAAGCTGAGGGGAAGGAGGGGGGCATTGGGTGATTGGGAGCTTTTCTTTTTCTAATAACAGAGTGGCACATGCATGCATATATAATATAGATGAAAGATTCAAATTACTGTTCTTAGCACAGCTGCACGTAAGAGCAAAATCCCAAACGTGCCAACGGCAAAATTAAGCCAAGGGCAAAATTGATCGAAGGGAAAAATGAAGCCAAAGGCAAAATGAAGCCAATGGTAAGGGCAAAAGCAAGAGCCATGGGCAGAAGTGAAAGCGAAGGGCAAGCATTGAAACCAGGCAGCTGGGTGTGTGGGGCTTACAGCTGGGTTAGTGCTACGAGTCTTGAGAGGCCAGCGGGAATTGAACCCGTGAGCTTATTGACGTCGAGTCGGCTGGACGGGGAGAGGGGAGAGGGTGGTGAAAGGAAGGAAAGAAAGGAGCTTGAAAATTTGTTAACTAGCGTTCATTTATAGCCTTTGAGAGTTTTCCGAGCTTGTACTTTCGTGAATTAGTCAATCGTCAGTGAAGCATTCAATCTTGTTCACGATGACAGACCAGTGACCCATGACATGAATTTTGTCAAGAGGCATTCCAGAGATGCCAAGGGGACTTCAGGCGCCTCAAAAGATACCCAGTTTGAGGCGCCTCAGAAGATACCCAGTTTGAGGCGCCTCAGAAGATACCCAGTTTGAGGCGCCTCACAAGATGCGCAGTGACCCGTGGGATTTGTGAAGAGGTATTCCAGAGATGCCAAGGGGACGGGAGCAAGGATCAAAAATACGACCGAAATTTTGATTTTCCACCGTATTATACGGTATCGTATTATACGTTCGTTTAAAACGGTTTAATACGGTCACTAGTTACATTTAAGTTTCAAATAAAAATACAGTCGTTCTTTTCGGCTGAAAGTTTAAAACCGAGACTGTGTATACTGATTTTCAACATTCAGACCCGTCGAGTTCAATATGGGGATTTCTTGCGAAGTCTTGTCAACCCATGGAGGAAGAATGCACCATTGATTGGTCGGAGTTTGGGAACATCGGCAGGAAGAGGAAGGGGAAGGCGGGTGAGTCATCAAAAGGGAAGAAGGGGAAGGGCACCGGTTCATGCAAGGGAAAGGGGAAAGGAAGAGCACGGGATGAGGAGGAGGAAGAGGAGGCGGCAGACAGCAGTGGGGAGGAGGAAGAATCTGCCAGGAAGAATCCCAAGGGACGAGATGCCTGGGATTGCAGCAACGGTTCAAGTGGGGAGGAGGAAGAGGACGAGGAGGAGGAGGACGAAGAAGATGAGGATGAATAGAGTGAGGGTAGAGGCAGTAATAGTGGACCTTTGCAGGCCTGTTTCTCCTTAGAGTAGGTTGTTATCGCCTTCATAGTCATTGTTGTAGACATTTCAGTAGTTTCTGGAATTTTTTTCGAGCCAAAAACGGCAAACAAAAAAACGGCTGAAATCTGGCCAAACACACCGTATTATACGACCGAAAAAAACGGCCCGTATAATACAATGGCCGTATTTTTAAACCTTGGACGGGAGGCCTCTTAACGAGTTCCCCGTGTTGCAGAGAGGGTTTTACAGAGGCTTGCAGAGAGGGTTTTAGAGAGGCTTGCAGAGAGGGTTTTAGAGAGGCTTGCAGAGAGGGTTTTAGAGAGGCTTGCAGAGAGGCTTGCAGAGAGGCTTGCAGAGAGGCTTGCAGAGAGGCCAAACGGGACTTGGCCTTTGAGATCTATTGGCATGCAGCAGAGTGGACGCAGAGAGGAGGAGGAGGAGGAGGGGTGAATGGGTGGGAGGATGAAAAGGTGGCAATTGAAGAATCTAGTTTTGAGGAGCCTCAAAATTTGGGCTTTGAGATCTATTGGCATGCAGCAGAGTGGACGCAGAGAGGAGGAGGGGCGAATGGGAGGATGAAAAGGTGGGAATTGAAGAGCGAAGTGTGGAAGGGAAGGTGTGAGTGTTTAGGTTAGGGCAAGGAGACGAACCCCACATGGTTCAGATGGAAGTGCAGACTGATTTGGTTGAAAGAGGACACTTGTAGGGTACACAGGTGGGCTACTCTTGGAGACGTCTCAGAAGTCGTTTCAGATGGAAGGGTAGACTGATTTGATCGAAAAGAGGACACTTGTACGTAGGATTGAGCAAGCAAACGAACACTTGTTCGGTTCGCCTCGAACATTTTGGCAAAAAATGTTCGTGGCGAATGTGTTTGGTGTTCGCCCGAACACGTTCGTGTTCGTTTCGGAGCAAAAACGAACACGCATGTGTTTGTCGCAACTTTCCCGCGATCTGAAATTTAGGTCGCGCGACAAACTGTTTGAGCTCAAATTTGAGCTCAAACATAGCCGCGCTATGCAGCAGCAGGCATTACTACCACGCCCCCCACACATCACGCCATTAACACCTCTTCCAATAGGACTTCGCGAAAATAGTAAGTCTACTTAGGTTAGTCTAGTCTAAGGATGGCTGGCGCCCTAGGCTAGTATTGGCGCCATAACACTACAAAGCTGCCTACCCAACATTGTATTTGCCCAAATTCACAATCCCTCTGATGTGATTATAAAGAATGCTGTCCTCAGGGCGAACACGAACGTGTTTGCCACGAACACGTTCGTGTTCGCCTTCACAGGCGAACGACGAACACCGTTCTTTTCTAAAGCTGTTCGGCGAACCGAACACTGTTCGGTTCGCCAAACGGCGGTGTTCGTGCAGGGGCGAATGCGAACACGTTCTTGTTCGCCTTTTGCTCAAGCCTACTTGCAGGGTACACAGGTGGGCTGCAGAGGCCTTAGTTCCAATCCAGAAACTTAGTAGGTTAGGTGTGTCTACGACAACGAAACGAACTCCATGGTTCATTATGAAATTGTATGCATACGCACAGGACAGTTAGGTTGGTTAGTGCAGAAAACGCCACTGGAATCGGCCCCGACATTGAGTTGTTGATCATCTTTCTGCAAGCGATTCGAAAAAACAAATACGAAAACGAATAGAAGGAAAGGAGAAAAGGAGCAGGAAGGGTTTAGAAGGGAATCAACATGATGCGAGATCGTGGTGTATTTTGAGGCACCTCAAAATACACCTCAAAAGGAGCAGGAAGGATTTAGAAGGGTAAAAGCATGATGCGAGATCGTGGTGCAGGGAAGTAGAGAGAAATTTGTTTCAACAGGCATGCATGTATTTCACATCTACTGCCATGTCACACATCCAATCCCACATCACACATCAACTGCCACGTCACCCGTGCGCACACGTCTTTGAGCTTTGGAAGGGCAGTGATCATTGTGGGGAAGGGCCCTGAAATGCCGCTTCTGCTCATGGACCTGAGAAGCACGAGGGGGGTTGGTTGGGGGGGACGGAGATAACAGGGGTACAGGGGAATGTTGAAGGGCAGTGATCATTGTGGGGAAGGGCCCTGAAATGCCGCTCCTGCTCATGGACCTGAGAAGCAGAAGGGTGGAATGGAAGTGCAGGGAAATAGGGGATTGAGCAAAAATCAGGGACACAGGGGAATGTCGAGGGGCAGTGATCATCGTAGGGAAGGGCCCTGTAATACCGCTTCTGCTCATGGACCTGAGAAGCACGAGGGGGGTTGGGGGATGGACAGAGGTGAGTTGGGAGACGACAGAAATACATGAAAAGGCAAAAAATCTTGAAGAGCTGGCTGGGGGATCATAGTAGGGAGGGAAGGGCCCTATAGTACTGCTTCTGCTCATGGACCTGAGAAGCACGAGGGTGAAATGGACAGAGAGACGTACAGTGAAAAAGTAGATAGTGTTCCACCTCGCCTCTGCCCTCACCTCGCCTCTGCTCTCAGCTCAGCTCAATGGTCAGATTTGCTGCTCTTCCATTGTGAGTGCAGACCCAATGGTCAGTGCGCTTTGAACACACGTAACAAAAGTGAGGCTTACAGGAAAGTCATTTTTGTGAGCCTTGAGAACTCCGTTGGTAGAGTGGTGAGATTGCCAGTGGTGGTGCTGCAAACAGGTGGGGCGGGGGAGGGAAGGAGCAAGGATAGCTAGTGAGCTTTGAGAACTCCGTTGGTAGGGTGGTGAGATTGCCAGTGGTGGTTCTGCAGGAGTGGGAGCGGGAAGGGGGGAGAGGGGGAGGGGAGGGGGAGAGGGGAGGGGAGGGAGGATAGCTTGTGAGATTTGAAAGTTCCGTTGGTAGAGTGGTGAGATTGCCAGTGGTGGTTCTGCATTGGAAAGTGGTCGGGGGAGAGAGGGGGAGGGAGGGTGGGGTTGGGGAAGGGGGGGTGGGGTTGGGGAAGGGTGGATAGCGTTGTGCGGGATGATGAGAGAGGGGGGGGTAGGGAGGAGGGAAGAGGCCGCGGGAAATGAAGGCGGGGACTTTTGAGGCACTTCAAAAGTCGCTGAATTGCCAGTGATGATACTGCAGAGTGGTCGAGGGGGCGAGTAGGAAGTGGGGGGGAAGAGAGGGGGGGAGGATACCTGGGTGTGCGGGATGGATGCGGGAGGGATAGGGACGACAGGTGAAAATGTGAGAATGCTAGTGCTGGCGTTGGAAAGTGGAATTTCTGCATGGGGAAAGGAAAGGGAGGCGACTAGCGACTAGTCTAGCGGCCAAGCGAGGGGGTTGAGTGTGTGCACGAGGAGGGGAAACTAGATTATTCGACTCAAAAGGTTACCTTGAGGTGGGTTCTGAGGCGTCTCAAAACCCACCTCAATGCTAGTCTTGCAGCCTTGCGAAGGGGTTGAGTGTGTGCGCGAGGAGGGGGAACTGGGTTATTCGACTCAAAAGGTCAACTTGGTGTCTTGCTGGTGCTGCAAAGTGGGGTGTGTGTGCAAAGTGGGATGTGTGTGCATGTGTGCATGTGTGCATGTGTGCATGTGTGCATGTGTGCATGTGTGCATGTGTGCATGTGTGCATGGGTGCATGTGTGCATATGGGTGCATGTGTGAAGAGTGTGCGGGCGGGAGGCGACTAGCGACTAGTCTTGCGGCCCCCCGCGAAGTAGTTGTGTGTGTGCGCGAGGAGGGGAACTATTTGAGAGTTGAATCAAAAGATCACCTTGATGTGGGTTTTGAGGAGCCTCAAAACCCACCTCAACACTAGTCTTGCAGCCCCTGCAAAGTGGGGTGTGTATGTGTGTAGAGTGTGCGGGAGGGAGGCGACTAGCTGATACTTTTGAGAAGTGTAAGACAGACACCAATTTGTAGGCGAGAATGGGGATTAGGGGGTTGGGGTGCGGAGAGTGGAGATCTGAAAGCAAACGAGTCGAAAATAAGAGAATAACCATGTGCTCTGGTCTCCCTGTGCATGGCTTTTTCCAGAGAATAACCATGTGCTCTGGTCTGGTCTCCCATCCCAGTGCATAGTTTTTTCCAGAAGATAGGATAGGATGAATGAAGCACTCTAGTCTCACATGGCCAATAAGAAGGTGAGGTTGCCGATGGCAGCAGCCTGCAGGCGTAGTTTAAGTCGACTCAGAATACACTGATATCCAAAAGAGCTAATGATGCACTGCACTGCACCGCACCGCACTGCACCGCACTGCACTGCGCTGCGCTGCACTGCACCGCACTGCACTGCACTGCGCTGCACCGCACTCTAGTCTCACATGGCAGATAGGAAGGTGAGGTTGCCGATGGCAGCAGGAAGAGGCCCCAGTGCATTGAAGAGGTACCTGGTGAGAATGGGGTGGGGGGGGAGGGGGGAGAGGAGGATCACGGAGTCGGGAGCAGGTGAGCATGCATACAGAACAGAGGGACTAAGATACAAGTGAGGTTGCCGATGGCAGCAGGGAGAGGCCCCAGTGCATTGAAGAGGTACCTGGTGAGAATGGGGATGAAGGGAGAAGGTGGGCATGCATACAGAACAAAGAACAAACACACGATACAAGTGAGGTTGCCAATGGCAGCAGGGAGAGGCCCCAGCGCACTGCACAGGTACCTGGTGGCAAAGAGAGGAGGATGAGGCGTGAGGGAGAAGAAGCAAGTGGACACGACACACGCGGAGATCACGAGTGGGATGCGAGCCATGGCAGCAGGGAGAGGTCCCAGCGCAATGCACAGGTACCTGGTGGCAAAGAGAGGAGGATGCGGCGTGTAGGTGCAGGAAGAGACTGAAAGAAAGGGAGAGGAGAGGTGTGTGTTGAACGAGTTAAGTTGCCGATGGTAGCAAGGAGAGGTCCTAGTGTGCCGATTGTCACGGTGCAGTCATTTGCCTTGCCACACTCACATGACAGTCACGTTGCCTTGCCACACTCACATGACAGTCACGTTGCCTTGGTCGTTGCAGTTGACTCCAAACAAGCACTCACTCACTCACGCATGCACGCACGCACTCACGCACTCACTCACTCACGCACTCACTCACTCACGCACTCACTCACTCACTCATGCTGATCACCAGATCTGCATTAGATCACAACGTTACCTCGACTAGGCGTTCTTTTGCAGATTGCGACTCCACTCACTCACATGACAATCACGTTGCCTTGGTCGTTGCAGTTGACTCCAAACCAGCTCACACGCACTCACCCACTCTCATGCTGATCACGATATGCAGCACCACTCACTCACTCACTCACTCACTCACTCACTCACGCACATGACAATCACGTTGCCCTGGTCGTTGCAGTTCACCCAAACAGGCTCTCGCACACTCTCGCTGGTAACCACATCTGCGTCCCACCCAAGCACCACTCACGCACATGAGAATCAAGTCTCCCTGATCGTTGCAATTCACTCCAAACAGGTACGAGCAGTCATTGGCCGTCCAATATGCCTTGGGGCTGCGGCTGGGAGTCACGAAGTTCGAGCACCACTCACTCACTCACTCACTCACTCACTCACATGACAATCACGTTGCCCTGGTCGTTGCAGTTCACCCCAAACAGGTACGAGCAGTCGTCATTGGCCGTCCAGTATGCCTTGGGGCTGCGACTGGGAGTCACGAAGTTCGAGCACCACTCACTCACTCACTCACTCACTCACTCACTCACTTACTCACATGACAATCACGTTGCCCTGGTCGTTGCAGTTCACCCCAAACAGGTACGAGCAGTCGTCATTGGCCGTCCAGTATGCCTTGGGGCTGCGACTGGGGTAGACAAAGTAAGAGCTCCACTCACTCACTCACTCACTCACTCTCACTCACTCACTCACTCTCAGTCACTCACTCACTCACATGACAATCACGTTGCCGTTTTTCGTTGCAGTTCATTCCAAACAGGAACAAGCAGTCGTCGTTTGCCGTCCAGTACGCCTTGGGGCTGCGACTGGGTTAGACAAAGTAAGAGCACCACTCACTCACTCACTCACTCACGCACGCACGCACGCACATGACAATCACGTGGCCCTGGTCGTTGCAGTTCACCCCAAACAGGAACGAGCAGTCGTCATTGGCCGTCCAGTACGCCTTGGGGCTGCGGCTGGGAACCACGAAATCCATCCCGTCCCTGATGGCGAGTAGGGCATTCCCTGGGAGAGAGCGACACAAGCAAGGGAAGGGGTGGAAGGGATAGGATACGATTAGTGAGCCAGGAGCAGTCGTCATGCCATTGGCCGTCCAGTAAACCTTGGGGATGCGACTGAGAACCACGAAGTTCATCTCGTCCCTGATGGCGAGTAGGGCATTCCCTGGGAGGAAGAGACACAGGCGAGGAGAGGGGCGCAAGGGAGGGGCAGGAGAGAGACCAGTAGAGAAAGAGGGGTGCAGAGCAGTCGTCATCGGCCGACTTTTGAGTCGACTCAAAAGTCTCCTGAAAGGGGCACAAGCGAGGGGCAGGAGAGAGACCAGTAGACACAGAGCGGCGCAGAGCAGTGGTCATTGGCCGTGCAGTACGCCTTGGGGCTGCGATTGGGGGTCAGAAAGGCCATCTTGTCCCCGATGGCGAGTGATACATTCCCTGAGATTGGGAGAGAAAGAAGGTGAGAATGCGAGGGATGGGAGAGAGACTGATGGCGAGCAAGGAGGAGGGGCAGAGCAGAGCAGTGGTCGTTGGCAGTCAGTACGCCTCGGGGCTGCGACTGGCGTTCACGAAGTTCATTCCGTCCCTGATAGCAAGGAGCGCGTTCCCTGGGAGAAAGAGAGACTGGGAGCGAGCGAGGGGCGTAGGGGGGGGGGTGCAGGTGGGAGACCATTAGTGAGGAAGGAGGGGGACGAAGAGAAGTGGCCATTGGCGGTCCAATACACTTTGGGACTGCGGCTGGGGTTCACGAAGCTCATCCCGTCCCTGATAGCAAGGAGTGCATTCCCTGGGAGGGAGAGAGACACACAGGCAATTCGAGGGGAGGGAGAGTGACAGGTGGTGAGCAAGGGGGACAAAGCAGTCGTCATTGGTCGTCCAGTAATCCTTGGGGCTGCGACTCGGGTTCACAAAGCTCATCCCGTCCCTGATAGCAAGGAGCGCGTTCCCTGGGAGAGGACGGATACAGACGAGGGGAGGGGAGGGAGAGAGAGAAGTAGTGAGCGAGGAGAGGGGATCAGATCCGACGTCATAGGCCATCCAGTACGCCTTGGGCTGCGTTAGGGTTGACCAAGTTCATCTCATCCCTGATTGTAAGGACGGTTTTTTCTGCGAGAGGGAGACACTGGCGAGGCGAGGGGCAGGAGAAAGATCAGTAGCGAGCGAAGGAAGCAGATCAGAGGTCATTGGCTGTCCAGTAAGCCATGGGGCTTTGTTGGGGGTTGAGCAAGTTCCTCTCATCCCTGAAATTAAGGTGCAAGTTTCCCTGGGTTGTCCTATCGCTTCCTCTTGACATGATCCGTTTCTCTATCCCCCACCACCAACTTCCTTACAATACCGCTCTTTCGTTCCTTCTCGCCAATTCCCGCGATCACCCATATGCATCTCTCATTTCGTCCACGTATACCACCAACGCACACCACCTCAGACCACCTCAAACCACCTTACACCACCCAACACCATCTCACACCAACTCACACCGCCTCTCGCCGCCTCCCACCGCCTCTCACTCACCACCTCACATCGCCACATCACTCACATTCGTTGGCGACGACAGGCACAGCTGCCACGTGGTATCCACTGCTCGCCAGGACTACCAGCACCGTCACAACGAGCGACAATAGCCGCGATGACGATGACTTTTTGCGCGACCTCGATATAGTCACTGCGTCTCTGCACAATTTTGGGATCGTCGCAGCCATAGCCCTCCCACATGACCTCGGATTCGTCACAGCCTTTCCGCACCATCGCGGTCTCTCCACGCGCTCCGGCCTCCCTACCCTTTCGTGGACAAACAAAAACGATAGTAACCAGGGAAATGATTTCGTGCACGATGATATGAACCTCGTCGCCGTTCGCATTCTCGATCCTCGCGCTTCCCAACCCGCGATCGAGCAAGTGCGGTTCGAACGGCTATGTTCTCGACTGTCTGGCAATACCCCTAGTCATGGCTCCTAGCTCCTTTCACTTCTACGTCCTGTTCCTATTCATCTGCTATATCCTGTTGGAAGACAAGAGGCGGGCTACAGCGTGTGCTAGTAGTAATAGCAGTGTCATATCGCCATTTCCTGAAACGATTGTCACGCTGAACTGGCGTTTCTTAAATCAGAACGCAAAAATCACTCCGAAATCACTCCTGGACCGCGGTTATATCACACCACAACTAGTACGAACGTCGATGAGTATAGTGGATGGTACTAGAAATGGGGAGGTGTTAACCAGCCCATCATGACAGTGAGTGAGAATACTAGGCATGTTGCTGGTTGTCTACTTACAGCTCACGTACGCACTGCCACTACAGGTGCTCTATTTCAATATCTGTACTGATCTGAACTGGATCGCATCAGAAGCTACCGTTGCTCCAAACAACACAGCTCTCTATGGAGTGTTCCCGGCGTTTCTTGTTTCTGTTTCTTGTTGGTCCTAGCGAGTGTCCCCTCCCCGGCAATTCTAATCATAACACGTTACGGTTCAAACCGGTGTCGAGCGGGGGTCCAGCTATGCGGTGCGGTGTGTGGGGTGGATGGAAGGAAGGCGCCTAACCGACAGACAAACCGAAATTTGTGGCTGGCGTGGTAATGCGATTGCACCAGTCGCCCACATGAGATTACCAGCCTGTCACTTTGGGACTGAACTGTACGAGGGCGATCGTACGATGTAGAACGCATTTGGGAATCTCGTTGTGTAATGTGCGCCGTTCAATGGGATTGTACCCCGCCACCTCATCGCATGATCGCCAACCTGCTCATGCGCATCGCAGTGGATGTGAGTGGAGTGGACCAGTCCAGTTATTTCCCAGCACCCTTCAGCATTTCCCATTATACCACGCCTCAAAAATATAACTATGCATGTCACTATGAGGAATGCATTTTAACAGTCATAGTTAGTCATACAGTTATAAGACTCACCATTCATGAAGTAGCAACGAAATGCATGAATTAAAACAGAGAGAAGGCTTTTTTCACTTCTGATTTTAAAAAAAAAAGCTCTTATTATCAAACCAAAAGGTTCAATTCTCTAATCCTCATAAGCGATAACGTATTTCCATATTATTTCTTACATCTGCATTTGAAGGCAGTATTGATTCTTAGTGAATGTAAACTGTTAAACAATAGGAATGAATGAACTAGGAAAGTGTGAGATACAAATATGAAACCTGTACCCCTTAGTGTCTACCCCACTACAGCCTATATAGACTAAGTCATATATATCTGACACACCCCCATAGGCAAAGTGGGGGAGAACTAGGGGTCACAAGACCAGTCAAGCAAAGCAAAGCAAAGCAAGCTCAGGGTGGATCACAACGTCACCACACATTCCGAGCACAAGTTCAAAGGCCACAAGGCCAGTTCACATGCAAGTTTATATATTAAGGTAAACAAGCAAGGGCAAGTATATATAGATCACAGTACAAGTAAAGTCAAGAGGTGAGCAAGTGAGGCCAAGTAGGCACAAGACCTAGCATAGTACAGAAGCGCTGATGATCACAAGGCTGAAGCGCATTGGTGAAGATATCAGCAGTGTTGGCCTGAGAGGCCACGTAAGCAAGGCGCAGCTGACCACGCTGCTGTAGCTCACGAACAAGGAAGTAGCGAAGAGCAATGTGCTTCGTTCTGTGCTCCAGTCTGTGCTCCCGACACAAGGCCAGCATGGCCTTGTTGTCTACGTACAGAACTGGAGGAGAACGAGGCGGCTCTCCCAGGTCAGTCAGCAGGTAGGTGAGCCAGCGTAACTCCTGTGCAGCCATGGCTCCTGCGTAGATCTCAGCCTCACAGCTGGAGCTGAGAACAGAAGACGAGCGGGTAGACCGCCACGAAACAGAACCGGAACCAAGGCTGAAGGTGTAACCCTGTGAAGACCGCTGAGTAGCCAGGTCGTCAACCCAAGACGCGTCTGCGTGACCAGTGAGGACCACTGGACTCCGCCCTCCAAGCACGAGCCCCATGCCCGACGTACTGCACAGGTAGCGCAACACCCTCTTCGCGGCAGCCATGTGCTCTGGTCGGTGTCTCCCAGGAGCAACATAGCGAGCCAAGATGCTAAGAGGGTATGCCAGGTCAGGTCGAGTGCAGGTCATCAGGTACATGAGGCAGCCAACAAGCTCTGGGTACGGGCCACTCGGCTCTACGGACTCATCCGAAGGCAGAGCTGAGAGCGAGTGGCGAGTAGACAGAGGAGTGGCCTGAGGCGAGGAGTACGTGAAGTCGAAGCGCTGAAGGACCTGCTGCACCATGTGTGGCTGAGTCAGTTTAATGGTGCGCCGTGCTCTGTCCCGGGTGATCTGCAAGCCAAGATAGCTGCGCAGTTCACCCAGGTCTGTGCACGTGTGTCTCTTCTGCAGCTCGGACTTCACGTGGGCAAGTCCAGCAGTGTCAGCCGTAGCAAAGACCAAGTCGTCGACGTACACAAGGATGTAGAACGGCGACAGCGAGGTGTCGGTGCGAAGAAACAGCGACGGGTCAGCAGTAGAAGGAGCAAACCCAAGAGCTGCAAGCGTAGTCCTCAGTGTGTCGTGCCACTCACGGGGTGCCTGGCGGAGACCGTAGACTGGCCGTCGGAGGCTCCACTGGGTACCAGGAGGAAACGACCCAGTGAAGCCAGGTGGGCGGCGCAGCCAGATCTCCTCGTGCAGGCTGCCCTGTAGGAAAGCAGTGCTGAAGTCAAGAGAGTGAAGCTCGTAGTCACGCTGAGCAGCGACGTGCAACAGAACCCGAAGAGTGGTCATCTTCGGGGTCGGGGAGAAGGTCTGAAAGTAGTCAACACCCTGCCGCTGTCTGAAGCCTCGAGCCACGTAACGCGCCTTGAAGACAGGCGGAGAACCCGGCGGCCGCTTCACCCTGAAAATCCACATGCCACTGACGATGTTCGCCCCAGGTGGGGGAACCTCGTCGACGTAGGTTCCTGTGGACTTCCAGGAAGCCATCTCTGCGTCCATGGCTGCCTGCCACTGAGAGGAGTAGGGACCCTCTATCGCCTCTGCGTAAGAGCGCGGGGTCGGGATGTCTGGTGCATCCGGGTCTCCCTCAGGGGCAAGCAGCAAAGACACGAGATGAGGTAAAGCAGCTGCAAAACACTGGAACTCCTCCTGCCTGTCCTCAAGGACGTCCGTGCTAAGAGCACACTCACCCCCGACGGACGGAGGACAGACAGACGCAGACTCAACAACAAGACTAGTGGCGTAGTCTAGACGACAGTGAGCAGCGAAGTCGACAAGCTCGGCAACTATGGCAGACGCAGCAGCAGACTCAAAGGAAGGGTCAGTGACAGCAGTGGCTAGGAAACGCGTGACAGTAGGACTGGCAGCACGAAGGGAGTCAAACTCCGGGTCAGCATGAGCAGGAAGAGAGGACGCTGGAGGAGAC